AGCAAACACCTGCAAAGTGGATGCAGATCTCACACAGCGGACCAAGACCTGAAAGAGGCCGATCTTCTCGTCGCCGCTTCCAAGCTGCCCGGGAGTTTGATTTGTTTACCGTTGCACGTGCCTATCTTGCGCCAATCCAGCAGCTCATCCAATGGGGTGGGGCGCCGTGCCAAGAAGTTCGTGCCCGTCGGAAGGCTGTTTAACACTTCACGCCCGAGAACGTTCGCACGGATGGATTCAGGGGGAACCCTGGAACAGGGACCACTCACCAAGAGCAAGAAGATGAGGGGGCACAAACTCTCCGCGCATGGCCTGCCATGTGTGGACAAATATTTCTGGCCTCCATGTCCGTTTGGAGACAAATGCCATGTATGGCAGCTGACATGACTCCGGCTGGCCTGTTCAGCCCGAATCGCAAGTTGTCGCCGTCCAGTCTGTACCTCAGGCGTGGCCACGGAGCATTATGACCCACAAACCAGCCGTATGCCCAGGTGATTCCTTTAGGTATACCACTTTTTATGACCCCAACAGTTGCAAAAGGAGAGCACTATTCTCTGCGCGCGCCAGCAGTCAGCGAACCTGAGACCAGGACAAAAACTGCTAAAATCGATAAGGGCGTCCTCTACCCCCACAACACTACCAAAGGGAAAGTGAGGCAAATGCCCTTCGCATGCCCCCTCCCCCCAATCTAGTTCTCCAGCCAATTCCGCCTTTTGTGCCAATAGCGCTTGGCCTCTTGCGTGCAACCAGGGAATCGGTCGCAAAATCACAGAAGGGTGGTTAACAAGAATGGGGCACCAACCCCCGGAAGGATTTGTCAACTTCATCCATCCAACATGTTGAGCACCGTGGGCCCCGGCACAAAGTATGTCTTCGCCTGCGCTTCCACCAGCGCACGCTCCAGCGCCACCTGGGTGCGACGGACAGGCCCCCCGACGCAGGACGCCGCACTTCCTCAATAGGGAAACTCGCTGTGACCCCTTGAACGCCCTCTACAACTTCAGAGAGAAATCCTTTTTGGCTCCTTGTTAACTTGCAGGGGAGTAACCTGGCGGTCTTTCCTTTGTAGAAGGAAGCAAGCTTTTCAGAGGATCTAAGAAAAAATCGACCATTGGAGCCCTCCCGCCCCGGAGCCCTGCGATATGTTTCGACATGTTCATCCCCGAAGGAAACCAGCAAAACAAAAAGGGTAGCCACAGGCTCCAGACTCCATCCCTAGCGGAACACTTTTGACGGCTCACTCATCCTCATTTTGGTTTGGCTCTGTTGGCCTCACCTGTAGCATTGAATGTTCGACTTTCCTGTTCCAAAGTTAGCCACACGTGGATAAATAGATACCTGAAATGTCTCCAGCCCCGCACAAGTCACGTGCTTGACTCCCACCTATACCCACAGGAAGCGACAAGCACCCAAGCCAGTGGTTTTGGGCTTCGCCACCTCATGCTACTTAGCAGTCGGGCGCGAGAATTGGGTAGGGCTTCTGTTTGTCCAAGACGAATACGATGTTTTGTCAGCAACCCGAAAAATGGACCAAGAAAAACACCTTTGTGATGTCGATACATGTTGGCAGGGGGGAGGGGTCCAAAACATGTGGCCCCGCTTCTAAGATGCCTTCCTCACACGGGAAGCCAGAGGGAAGTTTGTTAAAAGCAATCATCGCTTTGACGCCTTTCTTCACCCGTTTGTCGCCCCATTGTCTTGGAAGCACCTGCGTAAGGCCCCGAGTCATTCCAAAACCAGAAGCAAGGAATCCCCACGGAAAAGGCCCACATCACGATGAGCTGGTTCCCCGCCACCCCCCGCTGGTGAGCTTGCCACAAAACAGCCGTCGATTCAGCAGGGGCCGGCGATGTCAAGGTCGACCATTTGAGCTCGGCGCACTGATCGTGCTCTTGCCGCTGCCGGACAGGCCAGTCCTCATGGCGGGGAACGGGGAACCACGTCTTCAAGTTGCGCACCCACAAAGACCAAAAGGGCAAAAGGGTGAAAAAACCACCGAACAACTCTCGGCTAGACCATTCTTCGTTTGTGTGCTGGACCCAGTCGTTGGTGGAAAAACCAACGTTAAAGCCTCACTTCCTGAGTAGACTTTTCCCAAGTAGAACACCTCTTGCCACTGAAATAAAACCAACCCCAAGTGAGAGCCAGGGAACTCGAGTGAGAAGCTGAACAAACCGAGCTCAACGAGCCATCGGCTGATTTGGAGCCAAGGGGAGCCGTAGCAACCCAAGAGTGCCTCTTAGTGACTACTAGGACGACACACCACTGAAACCAAGCAAAGTCAATGCCACCTGGATCCAAAACTGAGCTTGAACCACCGAGTGCGTAAAAACAAAGCAGCAAAGGATGTCAAAAGGCGAATCCCGGGCAGAACGGTGTGTTGAGCACGCGGCATCCACAGAGTGATGCCCATGTGGCCTCAGAGCTGTGAACTGGCGGGAATCCCCACTCGAAATTAGCACTGGCTTGACGCGGCGCTGTCACATTCCATAGGCATGTGCCAAAATATGGATTTCGACCCAGGAAAGGTTCTTTTCCCTTCCGGCTTCCCTCAAAACCGCCCAAACATGTCCCTCGAAACCGCAGAAAAAGGCCCCGCCTCATAGAGGCAGGCAGCAAGTATTTTGTTATGTTTTATTTATTTTTTTGAGGAGACAAAATGGATGAAGTTGATAGAAGGCAGAAAGTGTGCAACTCTCAAACAGGACACACCCCAGACATGTTGAAGCCTCCATGTCCGACGACTTGGCGCCGGGCCGTTGGACTTCCACTTGTCCTCCCGCGCCAGGCCCTCATGGAACCTCGGGCAATGGCAGCTTGGAGCCGATTGGATGGTCTTTGGGGGGGGGGGGGGGGGGGGGGTGGGGTTGGGGTGGGGTTTGGGTGGTTTGGGTGGTTTGGGTGGTTTGGGTGGTTTGGGTGGTTTGGGGAGTTTGGGGGGGTTTCGGGCGTTTGGGGAGTTTGGGGGTTTGGGGGGTTTAGCGGGTTTAGCGGATTTAGAAGGGGTTAGGGGCTTGGGCGGAAAAGTGAGACATGTTACATTTGATCATCGGCCTAACTCTGTTGATAGCGCCCCCCCCCCCCCCCCCCGCATCCCACAAAGGGTGGCATTTAAGCAGAAGACCTCTTGTGCTTTTGCAAGTCCTTGACATTCCCTTTCCGTCGCGCAATTGGCTTCTTTCTCATCAATTGGGCTGTATGGGCGACGAGACTGCCCGCCCGGTGTTTCTGTCTCCCAGGCACGTTCAGGTTCCGGCCTTTCCGGTTCATCAGTATCCTGACCCACGGACGCCGTATCAAGAGCCTCACCTCTAGACACCTCCCATTCTCTCGTGGGGGTTTTCCGTGACCCAAAAACACGGTTTTCGTGTCCTGGGGTCCCTGGTCCGCGGTCCTGGTCTCTCTGAACTCATCTAACCTAACCACCAAGCCAAGTTTGACATAAACCAACCCTAAAGCCATCACAATCCCTCAAGATGACCCCAAACTACCCCCAAACTCAACCCAAGCTGAACCGACAATTAAACCAGCCAACACCAAAACCACCCACATGACCTTTACATGATCTCGTCAGTTTGGCACATCTTCTCACCTGTATTTGTTCAGGCCGGTATTCTCAAATATCCCAGGCGGATCTGGTTTTGATCTCCCGGATAGTTACGGGTTGCTTCACTTCTTGCCATCGGCCATGCGAAAAAACATGTTCTAACTCCGCACCGGCCACTACCCTCAACGGCCCCCCGATTTGCCGGGGCGCTTGATGTTGCTGCTCTTCACCTCCTCCGCGGATACCTGGAGAGCCGCAGTTCCTTTCCCGTGTCTTCCCCTCACCACGCAAAGCGCCCGCAAGATTTGTTCAAGCCATATGACCCAACACTTTGGCTAAAACTTTGGCGCCAAAACGCTCTCATCAAGGTAGAGGGGCCTCCTCGGGGATCTCAGCCCTGAGGGCTGTCTGTGTCCGGGTGCCCGGGGCCGTGGGCCGCCCTACGCGCCTGGATCACGAGGGGGAGCATCCAAACACCTGGGCCGTCTCAGAAACGGCAGACCAGTTGAGCGGGCGACATGCCATTCGCGCACAGCCAAGAAAACCGAAACTCGATGTCCACTTTGGGTCCTTCAAAATGAGTCATGCCCCAGAATAAGGGCGAGCCTGATTCATGCAGCGGCATTCGTTTAGCCGAACTGCCCTTTGCAGTAGGCCGCAGCATTCTGTTCGAGTTGCGCCCGCTTCCCGCACATGAGGCATAGTATAGAATCCAAAGCGCAAAGCTTTCCGCACCAATTTATCAAGAGTCTTCTGCAGTTGCGGCACCTCCAGTACCAACAGCTAGCCCGGTCCAGATTTACTCGTTGTGGAAATACCCCGCGGTTGGGAAAGCGAAGGCCGCTACCATTGGAACAGCAGGGGTACTGGTGGTTGCGAAATCCATTTCGCATCGTTCAGAAAACCAAAGGAATGATTCGATTCCCCAACGCAAATTCCCTGTCAACGTGCTCGTTTCAACCATGGTTTCAGAGTGGCGCAGAATGGAGTTCGTCCACCCACAGTATCACAATGCATCACAAGCTGACCAGTGGCCTCCCTGCGCTGCCCGTGCAGCACCATGCCACCGAGCGCCGGACAAAGAGCCGTAAGCCGCGCCATAGCGCAGGCGCGAATTTTCTCTCCCGTTTTTCCGGGGCTCTCGGGATGGCGGGGTTCTCGTCTTGCTGGGCCCGGGCCAAAATCTGCGGAAGGTGATCCAAGGATCGCCCCTTTGAACCCGTCAGAGAGGGATGAACGGATGAACCATCCTCGGCAATTTTCTCCTCAAGTCCATCCGAAGTTGTCGCACCTGCCAAGCAACAAAAGACAAGAAGAGAGAGAGAAAAAGCCGACCAACCAAGACGAAGCCGAACACACAAACCACCGGAAAAAGAAAATGAGAAAGAAGAAAAAGAGAGAAACAAAAGGAAACAAAAAAACACCAACCACCCCCCGAACCCTTGCCGCGTGCCTGAGGTTCCGGAGCAGGGACTCTAATCGCTGGCTGCGGGCGGCCTCCTGTCCCCCCAGGCGGCGCCTCGGGAGAACTGTCCGTCGGATCTCAGCGGGGCCCCATTCAACCGCGTGGCGCTGCAGGCTGCAGGTGTCTTTCATTGGTCGTTGTTTTTTGGTGCTTGCGTCGTTTCATGGCGCATTGTTGTTGGTTTTGCTTTTGTTTGTCTTTTCTTTCCTTTTCTCCGAGAATGGGGCTGCGGCCACCTGAGGGTCCGCAGTCTGATCAACATGGGGTCACGCATTGAGGAGGGGGGGGATGGCGGGGTGGGGGGGCGGGGGGGGGGGGGTGGAATCCACAACACGGGGACCTTGGCGTGGCAACTTTCCCCAAAGTTGAGCTGCTGTCTCGGTCCATGGAAGTGAGCTGAACCCGCTGGGCTGGCTTTAAGCCTTCGCGAGTCCAAAGCATTCTGAACGGGGCCGTAACTTCTGTCCAGACCAAGAAAAGCTTGAACAGAATGGTTCAAACGAATGAGAATCAAGCAAGCAAATAGATCGTGCTGGTAGATGGCTGGACCCAACTTGAAAGCAACACCCATGCTCACCCAAACCAACCTAAAAGACAGCTCTTCTCCGGAAGCCAGCTGCAAATAGGACTTCCTGCCCATTTTTTTGCCTTTTGGGCGTCAAGAAGAAGCTGCTCCAGACGTGTCCCGAGCCTTTCACTCCAACTCGCCCCTTCGCCGGCCGGCCCGATTGTTTTCGATCCGCTGCGCGGGGCCTTGGAGCTGACCAAAGGGACCTGGAGCATTCTGGGCACCTCTGTGCCTTGGGCCCTTGGAACGGGCCACGAAATTCCGACAAAAAAAGCTCCGGGAGTTGCGCGGGCCGGCTTTGGAAAAACCCCTGGCTGCACCTCCGCAGGCCCGGATGGGCGCCCCGGCAACTCGGAGGACAAGTGGCACTCCCTCCACTGCGCACCCGCTGCCTCCCTGGACAGCCGCAGCACCTGGGCAGGGATCCAAGTTCGGAATCAACGTGAACCTTGGTTCATCCTGTCAGCCAAGTGACGAGGCAACAAGCCCAAGAACCAGGCACGACATAGAACCACACACACACACCAAGACAAGGAAGTGCAAGAAAGACAAAGGTTAGTCCGCGGGCTCTTGGGCACGCTAAGAACGAACCAACGTCAGGCCAATCACCTGCGCGTGGGCTGGGCGCCAAAAAAAAGCACGCCTCTTCCCTCCCGGATGTGTTGCAGCGCCTTTGACTTTTCACACTGCTGTGGGCAGACCCTTCCCCGGACCTTGAGGGAAAAGCCAACCCCAGATTGGCAGTTTGATAGGTGTTTAGGTGTCATGTTCATCTGGAGAGGAGGTATTCAAATGGGTCTCCCCCAAAAATAGATGGTTTCCCTTTTTGGTCTCCCTTTAAAACCACCAGAAAGGTGGGCATCCTGGAAAAAAACCTAATCTGCCTAAACAGGGGGAAGCCGCCGACCGCGTCCCGCCCTCGCGGCTAAGTTTCCCGGCCTCCCGCTGCAAAGCCGCTCGCTTGCAGCGTCCTGCGAGCAGCTCCTCGAGAGGGAGCTGTGAGGTTGCGCCCCAAAAGGAGTTCCCCCTATTAATTGAGAGCGGGAGGCTGTGAGCGTGTACATTATTGTTTTTGTTGTTTTTCCCCCTTTTCGAGTGGAAACTCGAGTTGAACTATGTTTGCACCGGGGTGTCCTGTTCTGCAAAAATTGTGGTTGTTTGGGATCCATGTGAATCTGCGGGGCAATCTGTGCTTGTGCATGGTAGATGTCTTGCGTGCCTTTATGGATAATTCGGATTGGTGGTTTGGAAGCATTGCAATGCCATTCCCACTTGGTTCCAACAAGAGGGCAGGCTTCTGTGATGTGGTTAGGAGGGAGAATATGTCAATGTTCCTCATGACCCAGGCTTTGCTGCCCTCTTGCATGGGCAAACAGGTCTGCGGCTGACTTGCCCAGAACCACTGCTTGCCTTTTGTGCGGGACTACCTACGTTGGTCGGCAAATGCACGTTTCAGCTCTGTTGGCCCTTCGCAAAATTGCTCAAGATATGCTGGGAGCAGGCGAAGTTTGGAAAAGAAGCTTGGCATCAGAACGGGACTTTTGGAGTCTTCTCACATTTGGGGCAGTTGGACTTTGGCCCTGGCGATGTGTGCACTTGGCGAGAAAACAACAAGTGCCCAAAAAGGTGAACAAGGCAGAATACGCAACAACATACATGCAACCAAACGAAACCTCGGTTGAAACTTGCGGGGGAAAGGTGCCTGCAGCTCTGAATGCAACTCAGGATGAATCAGCTTCGCTTGTAGTGGGCGCAAGTCCTCGTCATCTTTTTCCAAAATGTCCAGCTGTTGCACTTGGGAACGGAAGGTGATCATCCTCTTTTGGCTGGTGCTGGGGGGACAAAGCATGCGTGCGATGGTTCCGCCAAATCACCACACGGGCCTAGATTTCCCCCAACGTCGCCCTACAAGGACATTCACTGGAAAGTGGCCACCCTTCCGGGGAACATGTTGCGAAATATGGGCTGAGCAGAGTTCCAACTATGTGGCCCACCTGATTTATTTGTTTCATTTTATTTGTTAAATATATATATTTTAAAAAATGCAGCCCCAGCCCTCCCAATCCTGCTCCGCTGCGCGGATCTGCAGCTCATGCAGGCCTTCCTCCCCGCGTTTCAACAGGAACTGGGTTTCAGAATCCCAAACCAATCCAAACCACCAACTATGAGGAAATTAAAAATTGGCCAAGGGGAAACAGAAGGAATACCCTCCCTCCAAATGAAAGCTGAGAGGGTGTTGGAAGACAGAAGCTTCCTTTTGGGGAAGTCCCATGTCCACTTCCATTACTGTTGGATATAGAGGGTGCAAATGTTGTACTCTTGTGGTTTGGTCATTGTGTTATTCATTTGTCAATATTTAGAATCAGCTGTTAATTCAGAGGTGCAGAATGAATGATCCTCAAGTGCATCCATTGAAATGCCATATTTTATCTGCAACCCTAGCCCCGCAAAACCAAGCAACAGGCACTCGCACAGCAAGTGGGATAAAGAACCTGCACCGGCTGAGCTTGCCAGCTGGCAAGCTGGCCTCTGAATCGTTGGTTTTCCTCGTCGAAACAAAGACGTGCCACACAAGGATGCTTCTGGATTGAAGGGGCAACCAGGTTGTATGTATCTTGAACATGTATGAATCTATGGTCTTGTCTGTCTCCCTCTTTTGTGGTATTAACATCGCCTATTGGGCCAAGTCGAAAGTGAGCTTCTTGTTCTTGGGGGTTAGGTGTAAAACGGTGTCAAGGGGATACATGGGTATGTCCTAAAATGGACATCCTGTCTTCTGTTCGCCCTAAAGTCATTCCAAAGGCGACCCCGCGTTTGTGAGATATACACCCCTGCAGGCTGACACGGGACCCACAAAGTATTTGGAGAAAACATTTGGGGACCACCTCTTTGGTTTCCACACTGCTGGTGCAACTGCTGCACGAGTTGGTTGGTAGTTCAGCCCAGTATTTGCTAGGTTTTTCAGTAGAGGTAGAAGGGTACCCTTTTGTCTGTAGTCTATTTTAGTAGGGGAACCCTCCCCCAAAAAGGGTGACAAAGGGCACTACAAAAAAACCTAGATAGGGTCTCATCCATCCCGACTGGTGCGGGATTTGGTCCATCAGTGGCCACTTAACAAACCCGGACCGACCCTGCAACCTTGGTGGGCTCGATCGACCTGTGCGCAGCGCCCAAAAAGCGTACCCCCTGACTGAAAACCCCGGTGAAGCCAGGGTAGTAGAACCACGCCTCTGCCATGCGGCTGCGGGTGCGGCATGGGCGCCCCGCGTTGCTCGGCACGTCCCCGTGAAACTTTCTGGTGTGGCCTCAAAACGGTGGAAAGGTAGTAACCAATGTTGTTTGAAGGTTCCAACAGAATGGTTGTTTGCAAAGGCGGTCGCGCTACCCTTGCATCCACTAGCTTGGAACCTGACTCCACGAGGCCTGTGGGGTCTGCGGAGCCTGCCTTTACCTGCCGCTTGTGTCAGGTGCGTGTGGCATGGGGCGTGTGGCGTATGGTGTGCGGCATGTAGGGGTAGACGTGCTGGTGCGCCGTTTGCAGGCCCCAATCCAGGGACTGACTTGCTCTGACTAGCACCGACTTGCTCTGACCAGCTCTGACTTGGGTAAGGCGCGGCCGGAAAAATAATTCGCTAGAGATTCTCTTCTGGCCGAATCGGCTAGCACAGCAACTGTTGGCAAAGACAAAGGCTGCATTGACAAGCAAACATGCCCTGCCCGCACGAAACCGCAGCCCTCAGCCGAAGCATACATTCAATGTGAGAACTTTGAAAGTTTCACTTTTGCTGGCTAGTGGGATGGGAACATACACGCTTTCCCAAGTTGGAGGAAACACATCCAACCAAATAACAACCAAACATGAGAGCCCCTCAGATGAGAGCAACTCCGCACGGCCCGTCTCCTTTTCTCCGACGGAGCCGGTATATACTTCTCCGACAGAGCCGGTTCCAGGCTCTCGGAGCCTGTTGAGATCACTGCCCCTTCTCGTTTCTGAACACTCCGCACGTAGTTGAAGGAAGCCCGCGATGCCCAAATCATCGAAGATCCACCGCCACATGGTGAAGCAGCAAGGCTGCCTATTGGCAAAGTGCTCAGCGAGAGACAGGGCGCTCGCTTCCCCATCTGCCTGACAAGCACCTGGAAAGCAGCTGAGGAAATGACGGCAACGAGGGGCCAGACTTAGAACCAGCCAACCCCTCGCGTCCAACACTTTCGTTCAAGCGTCAAATTCGAGCTGAGCATGCCGCATCCGGCGCGCAGAATCTCTGAGACGATTCATCTCAAAGCCATCAAAATAAACTTGGTGGTTCTCAGCAGGATGAGTTGTGGCTTCCTTTGAGGGAATCCCTAGGCTCATGCCCAACATGCGGAAGGAAGGTCACTCCCTACCGAGCACCAGCAATCAAATCAAAATTGGTCCAATTGGGACAAGGCGTTGTAGTCGCCACTGGCAAACTGAAGCCCTTAGCCTTCCCAGTCAGCAGAACATTCCTCTGATCATCTACCGCCCTTTTGCCAAACATCTGGGTGCAAGATCTACTTGTCCTTCTGATTTGGATGCGTGTCATCCTCTTTTGGTCACATGGCAACTGCCTCCTATTGCGAAATTGGGGCCGGAATGATCTGCCCGCCTTTGGCTTCCTTTTAGAAAAGTGACACTTGCTGGCTTTAGAACCCAGCTGTGCTCTTCTAGATCTCCTCCAAACTCTAAAACCAAGAAGCCGCATTGGGAACCGCTAAGACATGTCTACAAAACTATATGCTCGCATTGTACATTTACATGGCCTGCATACTTATAATATGAATACATGTACACATAAGTACACATATATATATATATATATACATATATGTGTATATATATATATATACATGCGTCACTTCTCCGCAGCGGCGTGCGTACGCGCGCGCGCGCGGACCCAGGCGCGCTCAAAACCTCGCAGAAGCCGTTGGAAGCTCAGGCGAAGGACTTCCGGAGGCGCCGGGCCATGGCGTGCAGGTCCTGCTCCTCTGCCGCATCCAGGCCTCGGCTTCTCGAGGGGCGGCAGGCTCGGAGTCGCTCGAGGCTCGAGGTGCTGGCGCCCATAGCAAAACACCCCGTGAAAATGCGGGCTGGGTGTGAAAAAGGGGGGGTTATCCGCTCAAAAGTTGTTGTCGTTCAAAAAGGAAAGTCCTCAATTGTTGGTGAGTTTTGGGGGGCAGGCCAGGCCTTCAAGTTGAGCGACTGCTTTACCCAGAGTACTAGCGGTCAGGGAAAAAATGCAATTGTTTGCTCATTCACTGTAAAGGAAAGGCCACCCAACAACAAAGGAAGAACCGGGCAGATTCTCAGGGGCTTCCCCCCAAAAAGGGTCGCGGAGTCAAATCGTCCCATGGGACACCCCATTTGGCCCTACGGCAGGTGAGCCAATATCTAGCCCAGGTGTCTCAGCTGGGAGTTCCTGCGGGTCTTTGTCAGCGGCATTGGTGCTCGAGCCTAGGCCTTCATGGCTTTCCTTTTTTGAATATGCGCCACTGTTGAAACAACTCCGTTTCGAGTCCCTGAAATAGGGGGAGCTGCTTGTTTAGGCCATTCTGCAACCTCTTCAAGCGAGGAACCCGCCAAGAACAGGAGGGATTCAGAGCCCAGCCCGGAACCCGCTGAATCCCCGGCCGCTTCCTTCAGCCCTTCGGAGTGGGTTTTTTCCGAGCGGCAGGTCCGCCCCAGGTCGTCCTGCACCGTCAAGGCCTCGTGGCCCAGGTCCTTGCACCGCTGCAGCAGCAGAGCGGCCACCTCGAAATCGGAATCGGATCGATCGGATCGGCCTGAAGAGTTGGGTCAAAGGTAGGAGCCACAATTCTTCCAGTTGGGCTTGGTCATCCCATGTCATGCCCTTTCCCATTGCTCAGGAACATGGTCCAAGCTAGAAAATGTGTTCTTGTGGTATCCCACCTAGGGCCAAACCACAAGCTGCTGTAGGGTCCTCACCTGATTCAATTAATATCAAACAAAGAAAATGGTAACGAGCATAATCGCATCCCCATGTGTTTCTCTTGGGTTTGGTTTGCTCGAATGAGTCGTCCTTAGTCACAAATGGGACCCATGGCTCCTCTTGCTGTGTCTCTGTATTGGTTTTTAATGCTTGGTCTCTGCGAACGGAAAATCCAATGGCTTCCATGCTTGGATTCAACAATCAATTTGGGGGGAAGTGATCCGTGCGTAGTCATGTGCTCCTTTGCGTGTGACGTTCCTATGTATGATTCTATTTATACGGGTGGATACCCAGGAGTTTATGTTTTTGGGCATGTGCTCGACCTGCCTATTCACGTATACCTACATGCTACGAAAGAAACAGATCAACAATCCAGGCTGAAACAAAGCTTAGTGCTTCCTCCAAAGGTCGCACTGATCAGAGGAACGTCCATGAAATGAAGTGTGGCGCCACTACAGGTCTGATGCGTGTGGTCCTCCAAATGCATTGCTGACAAAATATGTGTTGGGGCCGACCCCAATTTCAACAGGGTAATGGATCAGGGTTCTCTTTGCTTGCCCTTTACAACATCCCCAAGAAAAGAACTCACCAAAGGTCCAAAACATGTTCAAAGCCACGAAAAAGTCTGTGTGTGTGGGTGCACGGACGCCCACCCCACCTCCTCGTGGCCCTCCATGGCGGTGCGGTGCAGCGGCGTCACCCCCTTGGGCCCTTTGGTCAAGGGGTCCGCCCGCGCCGCCAGCAGCGCCTACGAGACGAAGACATGACCGCAAACCATGGGATTGATCAAGCTGATTCATAGGGTGTCCCACCAGAAGAGTGGGGATCCTATACCAAAAAAAAACTTTTGGGGGCACTGTGAATCCGGCAGGTTGATTCAGCTGGGGTTACTATTGTCAAGAGTCCCCAAAACGGCAAAAAGAATCGGGATACCGCTAAGACCCGCTGCTTTGCACCTGGGGTCAAGGCCCGGCATCAATGCATTAGAAGCGCTATGATCTAAATGGGGTTGCGGTACTTTGTACCAAACTGAGTCATATGGATATTGGGGAAAACTGAGTTTTAAACTGTTTGGTAACATTTACCTGTTTATATATGTTGTTTCACCTGTTTCACCAAACTGAGTTCCGGTTGGTAACATTATTGGCAAAGATGTTGTTTGCCCCTTCCCCATCCAGGCCTTCTGCCAGACGCTTGCCTTAAAAGCCTTTAGGGCACGGAAAAAACACATGTGATCGGCGGAAACCATTCCACAGACCTAGGAAAGGAAAACAGGGCTCCAAGAGGTGATGCTTACATCCACGGAAGAGAGAAACATCGCGAAGCCTCAAACAATCCACCAACCCAACCAACTTCACCAACCCAACCAACTTCACCAACCCAACCGCACCAATTAGTTTCCTTGACTCCACACCCAAAAAAAAAAAAAAAAAACGTAGCCCCGCCCCCAACTCGCCCCGCGCGGATTTTTGAGCGCCTTGCAGACCTCCAGGTGCCCCCGGCTGGCCGCCTCCGCCAGCGGCTGGCCCAGATCCTCCGGCCGGAAGAAGCAGCTCGTCAGCGTCTTCTCCAGGCGGTCCTGGTGCTGAGGCGTCTCTCAAGCATAGGTGTCCTTTTAGGTGAATGGATGGGTTTTCCTGGTAGATGAGAAAAAAACACCAGGGAAACCAGGAATCGCCATCTAGTTTTCGACCAAAACAACCCAAAAAGGACACCAATGTGGAGCCCGGTGATTTGGGGCCCGGATGCATTCAGCTGGTTGATTTTCTTTGGGGGGAGGTGTGATTTGGTCAAGTAACCCTCAGTTGGAGTTTTGTGGTTTACGGGCTTTCCTTTGGTTTCCGTCTGGGTTGCCTCAAAACGATCCTAAGGGCCAACTTGCATACGTGGACATACGTGTCCCTTTTCAGCTTGCCTCCAATTTTTTGAGGGATCAATTCCCCAAACCACCAATCCAAACCACCAATTAGGGTGCTCTTGACCTTTGGCTTCCCTTTGGTTAAAACAATCCTGAGCTGACAAGGGTGCCAACTCTCAAGCAACATCACACCCATAGAGGCGTTTCTGAAAAAAATGGGATCGATCCCTGAACACGGCTTACCTTTAAATACTGCCAAACGGGGGTGCACCATGTGGAGCATCTCCCGTACGAGTTTCTCCCCCAAACACGAGCTGGGTTATACAGGTGAGTCGTATTTTCAGGCGGAACCCCTTTTTGGTGTTCAAGAGAAACCCAAAGAGCAGCCACCATTTTGGGGGGTACCACATGCTGTAATCCTTTGACCTTTCCCCAGTGTTCTTTGCACCGCTGCGGGTTTCCATCAGAAAGGGCGCCCTGTTGGTTGGCAGTTGGTTTTTGAAAGAACCCCCCTCCAAACAAGAGAAAACGAGGCCCGGGTGATGGTTCTTGTGATGCTGACGGCCATACAACTCAGGTCGAGTTTCTGATTCCATTGGTAAAGAAAGCGCCAGGATTTGCTTTCCCCTCCTGACTACTCTTGGCCCCAAATACTTACATGCTTGGCTCTGGCCCGGCACAGCTTACATGTAAAATAATCGGGGACCCGAATGAATGGCAGCCTGTCTCTCTCTCTCTCTCTCTTCTTGCAGGGATCCTTACATTATACACCTAAACATTGCCTTGTAAATGGTGGTTTCCTTTTATCTTGGTGGAAAAAGCCATGTTTCAAATGAGCCAAATGTATCTCTTAAGGAGCCCTGTCCTGGGTGGGAGAATGTCAAACAGTTTGAGGTTTGCGCTTTGCATAGCTTTGGCTCAGCGTGCCGTCGCCTGGTCTTTTGTTGTCATATGGATTTGTGGAGCAGATGTCTGCACGCGCCTTTGTGAATTACATGCAACGGTGTGCGTCTTCATCGGTTGAAGCTAAACCAAACGTTGGTGCCTCAGTCGAAACCATTAAAGGAAGCACAATCAACTAGAAGAACCATGGTAACCCGTTCCAAGCCGACAAAAAGGAACTCCTTCTCCCAGCACCAAGATTGCATTATAGACCAGAATGACAATCCCAAAAAGATTCGGCTTGTGATCTAAATGGCTAAGGTATACTAGCTGAACACCGACAGACAAAGTGCCCCGTATCTTTAGGGCTTCAGACATCAGCCCCATCACCCCCTCCTCCCCCCAAAGAAAAAAACTATAATAATAATAATAATAATAGTAATAATCATAATAATAATAAAAAGAAGGAAAAAAAGCGGCCCCGGCAGAGCCCGAGGCTGCCAGTTCCGGCTGGGTCACCGGTTTCCGGGTCGGTCCTGCTGCCCCCAGGTGGCCGCCTCGCAGAGCAGCTTCTGCACCGCCGCCTGGTCCGAGAAGTCGTGGCCCAAGACCTTCCTCGATCCGTCGGATCCGTCGGAGCGTTGACCGACGGATCAAAGCGAAACACAAAACGTCAGGTAAGGTTCATCATGGGCCAGTGACCTGCCAAAAAGAGACCAAACTTGCTGTTTACCACTAAAATGGTCTTCCAAAAAAGCTTAAAGTCCATAAACTCAGGGAGTGAGCTCAGATCGTCAAAATAGAGCAACAAAGCTCAGCGGGACAAAGTCCACTTGGATTGGCTTGAATGTCCACTGGATGCCTCTCGGGAAGGGGTTTCTCCTGGCCTTCTGTCAGGTTTCCGCAAGGTTGTTGTCACCGGGGAGAAAAAAAAGAAAGAAACAAAAGAAGGAAACAGAAACGCAGATGCCTCTTTTTGCCATCCGGATGGTGAGTCACCATCAAAACACACCAGAAATTCTACCGAAGCAAGCCCTGAGGATTCGATCCTAAACTTGCTCCGATAGGCAGGGATTTAGAAATGGAATTCACCCCGGAGGGGGGAAAAAAGGAAGAAAAAACCATCCCTTCTGGTTTCCTTTGACCAAAAACCGGTGCATTCCCAGCACCAGGGAATGACTTTTTCCTACCTGCCGCACAGGCAAGAAAATTGGCCCGCAAAGTGGAACACGCATTTGGGCCCGCACATGCCCATGGCCTGTTGTTTTAAGTGGGAACCCTTTGGTGGACATCAGAATTCGGTGGGGTTTCACCATTTGGGAGAGGCTCCGCCGTTCAATCTCATAGCCACAAACTTGAGGGTATATTTGGAAAACCTGGCATGCTTCTTTAAAAAGGAAAGCCGTCCCTTTTTCTAGTCATCAGTCCAAAAAGGGCAGCAAGTTGGCCTTTTGCCGGTTTAATTAGAAACCGGAGATGTCAAATGGTCTACCCAAAGCCATGCAAAGAATTGAAAAGGCGGCGAAGCCATTTATGGTTGGGATTTGCCCTGACTAACTAACCCTCATCCACCCAATTTCTGATTGTGGCTCAAATGCAGGGGACCCACAAACGACAGGTTTGGAGATGTTCCCGGGGTTTCCCAAAAACCCTCTACAAGAACCAGGGCTTCAAATCCCCAAGCCACCAACCCAAGCCAGCAATGCACGTTCGGCCATGTGTCACCCCCGCCGGCAGCCGCGCGAAGTTCCGGCCGGCCGAGAGGTCAAAGCGCACCTCCCAAAGCAATTGCCAAGTTGTTGTTGTTGCTCTTTTTTGGTGTGTATTAGGAACCAACTCGCAGGATCCTCCGATGTTGAGGGGCCACCCAACCACCAGCCGGAATCTGGGGGGTCCACCAAAAGAGGACCCCTGAGATGGTTCAGCCTAGAAACATATGATACCATTCCGGAAGGTGAACAATTCCTTCACGTCCGCCTGGGTTGACTATGCTCATGCCTTTGGGGCGTCGGTCCAGCATTTTCTTCAGTGTCCTCTAGTGGCTGTCTTCGCATTTTCGTCCCCTCCCCACCTAAGAACCATGCCATCTACTTGCACCCAAACATGTGTTTTAAACAACTGCTTGCACTGCCACAAACTCCCGGCAGGAATCACACACAAAAAATGGTAACCCAAACCCACCTCAGCTTTTGCCCCAAGCAAAATCGGATTTGGTCGAAGACCTGGAGTAATGGAGTTTTTCGCCTTGACTCACGGATGCCTTGCTGGATGCGCGTGCTTTCTTCGGAAGCTTTGTTTAGGGAAACAACACTTCCAATTCGCATTCTTAGAACCAAACGCGGGCTTTTTCATTCGCATTATGCCCTCAATTCAACTGGCCCAAGCTGACCCCCCCCCCCCCCACAAAAAAAAAGAAGAAAAAACGCCCCACCTCCAAACCATTCGGCAGCACGTGGTGGGAGAACACCTGAGGCGGAACGCCAAAGCACTTCTTTCGTCTTCTTTTGATACCCTACAGGGGTGGATCCACAAAAGCACCCTCAATACCAATAATCCACACACCACTGCCGCTTGCCAGCAGTGATCGTATGAGCCGTGGTCAAGGCAGTTCTGTTCACAGGCTTACTGAAAGGTCCATTGCAGCACACACTCAAACAGCCGCTTCGGCTGTCCAGAACTGAGCATCTTCAACTGTACATGTCAAGGGCACCTACTCACCTACTCCACAACTACACACTTGAGCCCTTACGACTGGGTGGGGGATGTTGTGCTCAAAAGCCCCTGAGCATTGCTTGAGATCGCTTGCCCAAAGAACCTGCAAATGAACGGGCCTTTTGGGGCTACTGGGCGCAGGCCATAGGTTTTCCCAACAGTTCACAAGGTTTGAGCAGGGCCCTTGAAACGGGCTTACACTATCTAACTAATTATATGACCTGTTTCGACCACCTCCTTTGGGCTCCCCTGTTAACAGGGCCAAATACGTACGGCCGGGTCATTCAAAGCAACTTGCAACCCTGACTTTTCACGGGATGCCAACCCCTTGCTACAGTTGCACTGCGAAAACTTGGCATTCAAGGTGCAATAAGCCAACTCTAGCCGGCCAACCACATGTTTCGCATGTGCCAAAATACGGGGACCCCTGAAATGGGCGGTGTCCCTGTTGGCTTCCCCTACCAAGGCGACAAGGAACAAAACGCCAGTGTGTTTTTGCAGGGTCCTTACCCTTTTTGGATAGGGAAACCAAAAGGACCCTTTTTGAGGGGTTTCACTACAAACCACACACACACACGCACACCATGTATGTGAATGTCCCCACCACCTAACAAGCCCTCGCCTCCTGCCACTCTGTGGAGGCCTTGAAGTGCACTTTGCCCCCCGGCAGCGACGGCAGCGCTTCGGCGGCAGCCATGGCGCCCTTTTGGCGCTGGTCGGTCTGCTGGGGAAGGTGAGAGCAAAGCACCGCTTGTTGTGGTGTCTTCGTTTGCTATGTATTGCTTCTTGGTGGTTTGATGTTGATGTTGTTGTGCTTGCTGTTGTGGGTTGCTGTTTGGTTTGAGAGTTTCTGTGGCGTCGTCGCGTTCTGTGGCGTTCGCGGTGGTTGAATCTTGTGAAGGTAGATGGCACCATCTACTTTCACCTTGCCAAGTTACGGAACTTGGTGCAACCAGCTGAAAGAATCAGTCTCAGAGGGCACATCAAAAGGGGTCTTTGATTCGCTCATTTGACATTTCCCCCTCCCTATGGCACAAAAGCTTAGCCTGCAACATTCCAGATGCCCAAAGACAGCAGCTTCCCCCTTCGGCCCATATCGAACGAGCAAAACATCTGGTATTCAATTTTGGCAAGCCCCTCCCCACCCATCCCCACCCCCAATTCAAAGGTTCAGGGATAAACCGCCTGGCTGCTGAAACACGTCGGGCTAGGCAACCCACACCCTCACTCGCACAGCCTTTTGCCCTTCCGCGGCTCCATTCGAGCCATCCCTTTCCTTCCGTTTGGCCCCTTCCGTGGGCCGGAAGGCGAAACAACGCGGCATGCGCGCTCAACCAGGGGCCCCTCTCATTCCAGCTCTCGTTCAAAAGTTTGAACCTCTGAAAGTGGCAAATCCATTTTCGCCCACCCATAAATTCAAACTTCTGCGGCCCCTGCTCAAGAGCGCTCGTTCCCACCGTCTCTTCGGTGAGTCAACGGTTCCCGTCAAGCTTGCCCCCCGCCAGCAATAGTGAATGCCAGGAGATCCCAGCCTTTTCTACAGCCAGCTCCTGCCAGAGTGTGTCATGGCTCTGCAACAGCTCAACAGCTCCATGGAAGCATATACTAGAATCGCAGGCCTTCAACCTTTGTAGGCCAGTCCTTTTGGATTTGCCTCTGTGATTACAAAGTGGGTTGCGGGTTTCTCGCGCAAAGGCAGTGCCAAAAACCAGCTCGGGCAGGGCATGAGAGGCGTAGGCATCGCGCGTCGTTTCACTCAGCGCCTCGGCACCTGCCAGGAACTGAGATCAACCGAACCCAGCGTCACTCAAAGCCAGCCGCAGGGAAAAACCGCCAAGCACCAACCACAAACCAGGCTGGAATTAGGACCCCAGCAAAGGAATATATGTTTTTGCCTGGTTAGTGGAAAACAAAGAAATCCCTAAAGAAGCAAAAAAACAAAAAGGGGAACTAGTTCTGGGAAAGAAACCAGGCTTTCCTGCAACCTCGTAGAAGCTCAAGCCGACCTCTGGGTCTCAGGGCCTTTGCGACGCCTTTTGGCTAAGGCCAAAAGGCCAAGCCTTGGGGAGGTATCTAGCAACAGCCAACAACCCAAGGTTGCCTAAACCAAGGCGAATCATTGCATGGACAAAGGAAGCCGCTTGCAGATGCGGGTCCCACCCAAATCCCTCCATGCCCTTAGCTCCCAGGAAAAGCAAGAACTTCACCACGGATAACAGCAAACAGATGCCACAACCCAATTTTTGTGGGAACACCGAGGCACACGGTAAAAAGCAGGGGGATGGATTCATCCAATCAAGAAAGCTTCGCCTTGAACAGCTGCCCACTTTCCGAAATGATTGTGGCCCCAACACATCCAAACATCCAACAAAAAAACTGCCTCCGTATCACCTTCGCTTGTGGACCCCTCTGTGCTTCTCTTGGAACAGGCTAATTACTTTGCTTCACAAACTATGAACAAGGAGTTCCCAAGGAGGAGCATGCATGCCCCTAGCAAGTGTTTCAAGGACTTCCCAAGTAGGAACATTCATGCCCTGGTGGAGCTTGTTATTGAGTTGTAGCCCACCTAGAACCATGTAGCCCAACCTTCATCCCAAACCTGGCCTCCTGCGATTGCAACATCCAACATCGCCATCTCAGAGCACCCGGGCAACAAGCAGCACCTGAGTCATGGGGACATACCGCGGATGGACGAAATCCGTTTCGCACTACCTGAGAAAATAACCCCCAAGCAAGGGCTGGCTTGGATGGGCCCTGCACCACCCCTGTATAGCCCATGTGTGTAACTGTTGTAGGCAATGATTTCTGGGTTTGTCCATTTGGGGTGGGTGGGACCTTGGAATAGGACAGACCCTCAGGAGTAAGCCGAAGCCCTTGTTTGTCCTGGGCTTTTTTCAACAAACACACGCACCCACATACACACGAACCCCACACAAACCCCGCACGCGCACGCGCACACCTTACCGGTCAGGTCACCCTGACTGGATGGTTGCTTGGATTGGTGGCTTGGCCCCCAGCTCCTCTTGATTTGCCAAATGCACCGATTCGCGTCGGGGGGGTAGTTCCATCATGGCTCCAACTCCTAATTTCCCAACCATGCGAGGAGCTGAATAAATACTAACCCTTCTGCTCCTACCATCATGGCCAAGTTCGGTTTCGAGGTGTCTCCCAACCTGACTCGGCAGATTACCTGTCAAATATTTTAAGCTGAAAGAAGCACTGGTTGCCGCGCCTGGGGCTCCCGAAAATCGCTTTTTCCTCTGCGGGGGGGACCATCCCTCTTGGTTCGTAGGGCTCACTTGGCCCTCCAGCAGCCAGCAGCCAGGCGCCTGAGGGAGGGTGTCGCTTTGAAGGCTGAGACCAGGGATGGCCTTAAGGCCTTGGCAAGAAGTTGCCCAAGCTATCGTCCACAGCTTTGGGATTACCCCAAGTTGAAAAAGCCAGATTTTCTGGACAGGGTGGCGTGGGGTGGCGTCCCTCTTTTCTTCCAGTCCTCCCCACAAACGAACTGCTATTCCAGGACGCTCTCGTTGGCGTCTTGGAACAAGAAAACGGATCCGACGAGTCCCGATCCATATGCCAGATGCTCTCAGCTGAGATCCCGACCGGCTTTGGATGCGGAACCCTTGTAGATGTAGTTGGCCATGCCCAGCACTGTGTTGTCATCGTAGTCGTAGTCCTGTTCGCAAACCCTGGATGACACCAATATCGGGTTCTTTTTGTCTTCCCTCCCATCAGGAAAATAATGTGTGGGCCCGCCATGGGCCCAAGTTGTGACTGGGTGGAGGGGTTGCAGGCACGCACCCCAGAACAAACTTCGTCTCATCAAGAGGCAACTCAGGTCACCAAACATATGATGCGTAAACTGGACGAGGAAGCTAAACATAAGGACTTCTGTGAGTACCTTGGTACAAAGCAAGACATGTTACTAGGATCCGGGCATCATTGGTTTTCAAGCGCCTCTCCTATGAAAGGTTACGTGCTTCCTCAAAATGGTCTCGATCAGTAGTCAACAAGGAGGAGATATGCACCCTCTTCGTGCCCTCTTTCTCTTGAGCGTAGCTTGGCCCACGTCTGGACTGCAGAATCATATTTCCCGAGCCTGAACATACTTCCCTCCCACCGATGAACATGGAACCTCACGTTGAGGGGGTCCTGGCTTGGACCAGTTTCCTTTTAATGGGACCCAACACCTTGCTTGACTTTGGAAGGGGAGCAAACATTCTCAAATTTTGAGCAGTCAAGTGGGGATTTCCCACTCAACCACAATCAGCAAAAATGTAAAAATGTTTTTCCAACAACAACCAACACCAGGTCAGGGTCCATGTGAAAAGAGTCCGTGCCAAAGGCCCCCTCAGGGCCTTCGGCCCGAAGGCACATACGAGGCAAAAGATCCGATTCCCAGCGCTGCGGCCCCCAAAGTCCGAATCTGCTTGTCCTACTCAAGTTGTGTTCGAAAAAAAGTACGGAGCCCATGAACTCAGGAAGTTCCCATGTGCCTGTGCGTGAGTCTTCCGAAGTAATGTTGAGCCCGGAATAAGGCTCACTAAACGGGTCGACTCATCTGGGGTCCACAAAGCGCGTCTTCAAACGGCCCGAAGCCGCGGCTCCCCGCGCCTCGCGGCGCTTGTCGGAGCGCCGCCGGGAGTTCATGAGCACCCCGTCATCGGAATCCAGCTCCTGAGCAATATGGAGCTGGCTCAAAAGCCAAACCGTAGCCCCAAAATCGTCCAAAATTGGTGGTGCACCTACCCCAAAACGCTACCAGTGGTTTTGATCCACAGCCATATGAACCTAGAATCAAACACATGGACGAACGCCAACGTTCTTACCCACGCTTGCCAGGGGGCCCCCGAAAGAGGGAACTCACTCCTGGACCCTCCCCCCCGCCGCGCCCCAAAAAAAAAGAAAGGAAGAGGCATCAAAAAGACCCCCCCATTGGCCTTGAGCAGGCCTTAGCCGCTGTTCGCCCGTGGGATGGGGAGGACCCTTGACCATAGGAACCAGTGCTCCTAGGCTCTTGAGCCCTCCATTCGCCGGGATCATAAGCACTGATTAATTGTTCATGGGGGATCCCATTTAGGGAACCCAAGCATCGCCCATCGGGCTAGGAAAGGACCGTCACAGTGAGCTCGTTTTGCCCCTGAATTGGTGAGCCCGCCTTAAAATAGGCACATTGCCTCCCTACAGTTTAACATGGAACCCAAAACCCTCCTTTTGGGGGCCCCTTTTTGGGTTCCATGTTGATTTTCGGGGAGTTTTCCACCAGATTGATGTTTCCACCTTAGAGCCGAACCTCGGGCGTGAAGGGGTGTAGGGGGGTGGTACGAAGCCTCTTTGCCAAGTTGCGACATTGGCGGACAGGGGCATGTGCGTCTCCGTCTCTGTGGGCATATAGCCCGTGTGCACCCCCGGCACGCCCGCTCGGACCGGCTGGCCATACATCCCGCCCTGCGCGCCCTGCATGCCGTAGGCATTGCTGCCGTATGCGTTGCCTTTATCCAAAGAGCCCCGGACCGAAAGGAGATGACAAGGTCACGGCCAAAACTGGTTCCCAAAACTGGTTGACACTAAAATGAAAAATAACATATCCCCACCGCAAAAAAAAATAGGACGCACGTCGCTTTGAGCAGAGATGCTGCCATACGCGTTGCCGCCTCCACTGCTGTAGCCGCTGGACACCGCGTAGTTGCTGCCAAAGCCTCCGCCCCCGCCCCCGCCACCCCAGCTGCCCGAGCTGCCGCTGCCGTAGCTGCCGAAACTGCCGTAGGGCGTCCTCTCGGACTCCTGGCCAGGGGTCCCTCTTCCCTGTGGATTGCGACATCCGCTTCTCGCACCGTTCAGAAACCACGGTTGAAAAACCAGAACGTTTGCTGGCATTTGGCGGGGAACCCTCATTCCAGGTTTATGACACACGGACCTTGCTCTTTGTTCCCCAAGAGGGCATGGGAAAATTGGGTTGGCCCCAATCTTCTCCCCGAACGAATGATACTCAGGTGCTCATATGTCCCAGTCACCTTTCTCCATAACCTCAGGGAGGAACCTCATCTTGGCGTGGCCCAAAAGGTGATGTTCAAACCATAAAAGCGAGGTGTAGCGACCCTCGTCCTTGTCATTGTGGATTCAGGGCTGTGGGAAATGACCATTTCTGTGATACAACAGAAAGGGCTTCCCAAAGATTAGTTTCTTCATATAAAATGGGGAGAAACCCCTTGATCCCACACCACAACCCTGTTGTGGATGGAACGGGGCCATTGTTCGCTTGTTGGGACATGTGTGGCTTCAGGCCATCGTTCCCAGGAAGATTCGTTTGTCGCACCTCCAACCACCCAGCCCCAAGTTGGGAACAACACAAATTGCCTTCGGGGATGGCACCAAATACAAAACGAAAAACGAAGCTTGGAGCCGCCTCCGTGCTTTGTGGGAAGCTTAACTTCCCTTATCAACCCTTTAAGGCAGGCACGTTGAAGTTTCATGTTAGGAAATGCCGACGGCACCCTCGGGTTTATTGGGTTGGTGCACCGGAAACTTCAGAGCGACACCGAGCGACGCCGTCTCCTTGTGCCCGGCGCTCTCGCCGGTCACCTGGCGCAAAGCCAGGGAAGATGTGCCGCCGGGCCAACATCCTCTCGTTTGCCAAACTAGAATATATTTCCACGGGTCAAAAGCCAAACCGCAGCCCCAGTGAACGGGACCCAATCCAACCACTAAAAATAGGTTCTAAAATGGGTGGTGCGCCTACCGCAACATGGTAACCATTGGTTTTGACCCACAGCCATATCTCAATCCTTCGTTTTACAGATACGCCTTGGAGTAGCTCAGATGGCTTAGCTTCCCACAACCCAAGATCGACCTAACCTCGGACCTCGCACCCACACAAAATTCAGGGCAAACCTGTGTGTTGTGGAGCGTGGTTAAAAACAAGTTTATGGGGACCGGGCGTGCAATAAAGAACGCAGCCCTGCGAGTCAAACCGAAAGAAGCAGGTGCCACCCAATGCGCAATCTGTGCAGACCAGCGAGCAAGACTGGCTGCACCTCTTGTGGCATTTCTTCCAATGCGAATCCTGAAGAGGCGCTTCGTGAGACATTCCCAAAGTTCCTCCAAGCCTTCGCTTAAAAAAGGACAGAAAACCTCGAGGCTAAACCCGACCTATATGCAGCCTGCTTAAACCCCGCGTGGGATGACAAAGGCCCGGCATGAGGCTTGCTTGTGACCATCCTTAGTTAAAGAAACAATTTTCTGAGGCAGGTTCCACCAGGCCTCGTGCACGTTGGCACGTGCAATCCCGATGGTGATGCCAGTCCAAACAAAAAAAAACTTGGAATCCTTTTGGGGTTCACAATTTGAAGAAGGGGTCCCACCCAATAGACCATTTTGAGAAGGAACCTGCCAAACACAAAGGAACAAAGGGTTGTACTTGCCTGCGACTCAACGCACTCGCCTCATGTTTGCGTGTGACCTTTCCGTCTGCTGTCACCTGCACCTCGCCGCTGTTGGCGCTCGCCTGGCAACGTGTCTCTCTCTCCTTCCCTCTCTCTGCCGCACAATCGGCAAGCCGTCCACCAGAAATACACCTTTGTCTTCCAAAATTATTGAACAAGGGCAAATAATGCTCGCAATTTTTGGTCGGGGTGCGCTGAGCGGCGCCTGCCCACTTCGCACGCAAAAGAACTGCAATGAAACCATGGACCCTGCACGAGCGAACGGGAGGAACCCAGGCCTCAACCACAAGTTGACCAGTGGGCAGACTGTCCCCGAGCGGGACCCTTCACTTTTGGATGCACCGCGCCGAACAAATCCCCCGGGATTGACAAGCGGGATGAACAAGATTGTCATCTAATTTCCTGAAGCGAGTGTGGTCCAAGTCACTTGTTTTGTGCCGCGCCGCGAGCGGCGCGATAGTTTGGGCAAATCGAACACACTCCCCGTGATGATCATAGGTCGCAAGGGGCAGGGAAGCCCTTGAGACCCATGCAGGAACCTTCCCATACGCACTTTGCCAATCTGTTGCCCCTCGGCCACGTTGGGTTGTGACCCCTTCTGGGAGGCCAAGTTTAGCGGGCTGAGGGCGGGATCCTTTCGCAGCTCGCAAACAAAGCCCACAACCAAAAGCGTGCCTCGCCCCAACCCACAGCCTCAACCTAGTGCAACCCACGAAACTCAAAAGCGGTTCTATACCAGCCCCCCGGCAAACATGTGGGATAAGCCTTTGCATGCCCTCGGTCTGGCCACGAGAACGTCCCTCCTTCTCCCCCCCCAACCCCCCCCCCAGAGGGGCCAGCGGCAGGAGGAAGAGCGTGAGGGCTCTCAGGGCGCTTGGCCTGAGACAACTGTCGATCCCAAAAGTGACATGGGTCGTCTTTTTTTTAGGCCCCAAACAAGTTTTTTTGGGGGGGTCCTGGTGGTTGTTGACCCCCTGCTTGATTTTGAGAGATGCGGATGTCCCCCCTTGCGTCGGGATCCAGACCACACTTTTGGCGGGCCTCGGGGTCAACCTTCATCTGGAATTTGATGCCACTCCAGGTGTGCTCTAAGGGCCTTTTGGAAGGAGACAAGCCCAACACCTTTGATTGTTGCTTGAGGTTCGGAGCCGCCAAACTCGCACGAATTGCTCGGGTGCACTGAAGATGAAATAAGGCATCCCAGCAAAGAACCCTTAAACAATGGGGAGCTTGTTTTACTGAGAAGAGCTACCGGGTTGCTTCTGCATCGTCGCCTGAGAGAAGGGAAGGCCTCTAGGAGAGCGAAGTCCCAAAGTGAGATGAGCGCCCTGTCTGCAACAATCGTGGAAGTGGACAAGCGGCCTGCTCAAGAGGATAGCAGTTAGTACTTCAAAACCCTGCGGTTCACTTCCATGGTGGTTGGAAAAAGGGGTATTTATACTAATACCTTTCTATTCTCCTAGGCTTTTCTTCGGGCCCCACAGACTAAATGTCAACCCACAAAAAGCACCCCGACAACATGGAAACTGGCCCAAAAGGCAACGTTTAGACCACCACAAAGAAAAAACAAACTCTCTCCCTCTCGCTCTCCAGTGCTGGTTGAAAAAAAGGGGCAAACCCAGGAGCAAGGGGCCGGTTGGGCCGACTGAGGCGCCTGCGCCATGGACATGTAAGGCCTGGAGGCTGCAGCGCGGCAGTTTTGTGGAGCCCACGGCCATGGTGGTGTCCGGTTCAGCATTTTCTGTGACGCCCACGTGGGATTCCAAGCCACTTTCTCACGTGTAGTTGTGCATGTATTGCAGAAAATGGTCGGGAAAACCCAATGGTCCTGCATTCCTGCCCTGCTATTCCACTGAAAATCGTCATGTCTCCATAATACTGACTCCATCAGGGAGATGATGCTCATTCCAAATGGTCTGCAGACTCAATAGGGTCTGGAAGAACTAAAAAATACACACGGGTTTGTAGCGGCTTGGTATCCCTTTTTACTGCCCCAAAAGGGTACCCAAGAAGCACACAACCATACATTACATCTTCCTTTTGAGACCCAGCTTGCTTGGGTGCGCCTCCCACCGCCCACTTCGTGATATTCGCAGCTTCGCCACAGCCCCGCCTGCAGCCAGAATAAGAAATGTGTTGGACAGGACTTTCCCAAGGCTGTGAGCCCACTGCGGTGGAAGCGTGTCACACCTGAAAAAGCGGCAAGGCAAATCACTTCCCATTCAAAAACTAATCAAAGACACCTCGCCACTTCGGCAGTGAGCCCATCCTCCGCCAGGGTGAGACACATTCAAGTGTGGCGATGGTACCTCATGACCAGAACAACTCTCCAACTTTACGATAAACACACCCCACCGTAATCGGAAAGCGGAATGTGTTGTCACTTCCCGTACTCCTCTACCTCCTGCCGCTGGCGGACAGCCCTATCTGGGGCCTTCGCTATTTCTCGCCTGCAAGTGCACCGGAGTACTCTCGCTCTAATCGACACTGATGAATTCCTCGCATGACTTCGCTCTGACACATATCTTATGTGACAGAGACGCATCGAGCGCATTTTGCAGTGGAGGCGTTGCCTGCTAGAGGCGGCAAACAACCCTCCGATACCCATTAAGGCTAGCTATCAAAGGCGGGCGACTCGCCGGCAAGAACCTGGAAGGACGAACAAAGCGGTTCAAACATGTTCAAAACACACAGAAAAAAGCATTCCAGCCAAAACATGCAACCTCACAAACCCTCACATCCCTCAATCTGAGAGGTTCACAGTCGTGTGGTGGATCGGCGGGGCGGGCATCCGCCCACTTTCTCTAAGAGGTCACGCCAGGTTCGGCTGGAGGTCTGCCCACATGCTGAAACGGCGTCCAGTCGCCCCACGAGCAGGGCGGCTTCCCTTGCTGTGGCAACCGAGTCTAAGCTTCCTTTAGGGCTCTAAGAACCAGGCCCAAACAAAAGGTCTTCAATGTAGACATCCCTACCGAGCCAGCTACCGACCTCATTTGATTCAGAAAGCATGCAACTGGAAAAACACTCGGGAAGCCCGCGCCGAGCGTGTGGCTCGCGGGCGGTCGCATCTGAGATATGTGCCGAAACCAGAAAGAAGCGCCCCAGTCCGCTGATTCATGTCCGCAGGCTGGCATACCCCGACGCCTCAGTTTGGCGCAAGCTCCACAGGTTCAAGAGAGCAATTCCGCCAATGTCGCAAAGCACGGGCTCCTTTTCCAGATCCAGATCCCACCCTGAAACGTTTCCCACGCGCACAGCGAAGCGCGCACAAGCAACACCGCTTTTGCAGAAAGAGAAGCTTCAACCAGCCCAGACTCAGCGATGGCCGAGCCGCCACCATGCTCGGCGCTCGCGCAAAACTGATGGATGTGGGCGGCGACGGGGAGAAGGCTCTCGGCGACGCGTGGGGCGAAGCCGGATCCGGCATCCACGCCTCGTTCTTTGGCTTGGGCGACCGATTTGTGGGGCGTTGCTTCCGGACAACCGGAAAAAAGGGAAGAAATACATTCCCACCAATTAACATGGAACCTGACGTTCACGCGTTCCTGCAAGACCATCTTCCTTTTAAAGGGAGCCCCGAACGTCAGGTTCCATCTGAAAGTTGGTGGGAGGGTAGCCTGCGTAAAGAGGCCGCTGAACCGAACTCTGAACGCCACCCACGTGGTCCTGGGCTGGGTGGGAAATTGGTTTGAACCAAAAGGAATCCGAAGAATTTAGCACCAAAGGTTCAAACCAAAGGAACCATGGCGGTTTCAACCAAACGTGCCATCCGAAAGGAGGTGGTTGAAACGACAGCCTTGGTACGTTCACCGGTCCACGCCCTGAACCTAAGGAGTGCAACGGCAGGCTCGAAGCATTGCTCAATATGCGGACATCACGGTCCATTTCAACAACGGTTCTTGAATCAGGGAATTCCTTAAGTTCATGCTCCCGAAAAATGGGCAAGCAGCCGACAACGCATCCGATGACTTATCCGATCATATATCCACGCCATGGGTACATGGCACCCGCTTCGTCCATAGAAACCTTCAACCATACCTATTATTTGCAAACACCCGCAATGGACCGCCAACACCAGGAGCCCCCCCCTAACGGATGGACCGAAGGCGACTTCCACACAAAACCGGACCTCAAACTGTCCTCAATGCTCCCTTCCCAGCCAAAAAAAAAGCCAATCGATGACCGAAAGATCCCATCTGCACCGACTATATATATATATATATATATGCATATATGTATAACTCACTGATCTGGGACCAAGTAAGGGACCTTTCATCACGTCAGCCACCTTCACAGCTATTGGTCCAACTTGCTTGGCCTGGGACCTTGATAGAATCCTTTGTTTTCCACTGCTCATTTCTTGCACAGAGCCCATCCCAAAAACGGCCTGCAGCAGGATTGAAGCAAAATATGCCCCATCAAAGGAAAGCCAAATGGAGGCTGTTGCAACAATAGCGTTTGACTCATGATGCCTTCTGGCCCGACCCAGTCACCCCCCGTGCGGCTCATCCCCCCTAACGCCGCTCCAGCGGCAAAGCCCCCATTGTGCACCACACGGGTGGGAGACGCAGCGCGGATCGAGGCCTGGATCCAAAGTGCAAGGCACGGCCCGAGCACGGACTAGACACGGTGAGATCTAACTTGTATACACATATGTATTTAGAGAGAGGTAGAGAAACATATATATATATATATATATATATGGAATGTCGAATACTTATACTTATATTGATAGTTATTTCTAATGAGACTGGCTACATCAAGGGTGCATACAGGAATCACTACTCCAAGGGCGGTCGGGCCCCAGAAAAGACCCTTTCGAAAGAATCCTAGAAGATCGTCGGCCGCGCGGCGCCTCACTCCCTAGTTCCCTGGATCAGAGGGGGCCCCCCCAACAGGCACCCAAAAGTAAGCCTAGCTGCCACCCTCATTTTGGTTATGCCTTTGTCATCTGCTCAAATCCTCAGATCAGCCGGACAACCTCCCTCCCCCCCCCCCTTCTCACAATCCAAAGGGAGGTGTCCTGGGCCATGGCGCGGTTTTCGCTTCCCCTACCGCCCCTCTTGGCCGACCGCGCCCCAAAAGCTCTTTTGGCCCCCGGCGGGAGGGTGCGGCACCGCCACCGGGGTCCAGCTGAAGCCCGGCCGGAAGGTGGGGCTGGGCGCCCGCAGGTCCTCGGCTCGACGTGCTGGCGAACGAGGGCCGGGGGGGCGGGGGCCCGGCATCCTGAAGAAGGGGGCTGCTCCCTTGAAAAGTAGGCTGAATCCCCATGAGAGGCGGGCAAATCCATGCTAATCAATCGGGGGGCTTATTTAGGGGTTACTTGGAGGGGGTGGGGTGCTTGGCAAGTCGTTGGCCCACTCCTGCCAAATGGTAAGCACGGCTGGCAGTCTCTGAATCACTGGCTACCGCCCAAAACCTGCGCAAAGCTTAAGATTAACGGATCTAGCCAGCTCGACGCTGCTGTGAAGCATCGGGTTTTCCGGCTGAACTGGCGGCAAGCGCTGGGCACGCCAACCGTTTTAGAGTTTTTGCTGACATGCGCAGCGAGGGCGCTCCGTGAGTGTCAACAAGCAGTGCATCATGTCGTGTTCGAAGTAGCTTTCGAGGAGCCAAGTGAGCCGTCCCTGTTAGTAACCATGGTTCGATTTACTCACCTGACAGAAGGGTGGCTTCTGGGACCGGTCCTCCAGTTGTTCGGTTATTCTAGGTCTTGAACCCGCGAAAAGTGCACAAGGGGTGGTCCATTGGACTGGAGTCGTACCCCATGCACTGACAACCGTGGCCCCAAGAAACCAGTTGTCAGGAATGTCTCCAGGAAATTAGCGGAAAACCCGCAAAAAAAGCAGGGGGGTGGGCGAACTTCCTGGTGAATTTCCTGGAGATGGCTTCTTAGAATGGCAATTGTCGATCTTTTTGTCAAGAACCCCTTTCTTGTGGTTTCAAAAGGAAACAAGGAGGACAATTTATCTTTTGAGGGTCTCCTAAAAAAGACACGCCCATGTGCCAATGGAAACCTAACCCCTCACCTGTGCTGCCACGGGTCTGGCAGTCTTGCATGGCTTCTGGGATTATTTTGCGGCAGGTAAAGAAGTGGAAGTTCAAAAGATGTGGAAGACATTGGGCACGAAGACCGAAAGCAAATTGGCAGTTCTCTCTAATCGGTAAGCCCAAACACTCTTTTAAAAAACTGCGAGGAACACACCCAGAAGAATAACGAACACCACACCCTGCCGTTGCAAAAAAATCCAACCCGCGCCCACCCAGGTCCCAACCTCTCCCCCTCCAACCCCCTCCAACCCCCCCCCCCCCGATCCCGAGCCCCCCGGCCCGGGCCGGCGAGGGCGACCGCGACACCTGCACCACCCGCGGGGGGCTCGCCCGCCGCATGAAGGTCAGGCCCGGCGAGGCCACCTCAGCCGAAGCCCAACCGCACCGCACCGAAGCACCGCACCGCAGCACCGAAGCCGAGGCCCGGCCGGAAACCAGGAGGTCGCCACCGGGCACTGTGCATGGCTCAACTGTGCCTTGTTATTTGTGGGTGCCAGTTTGGTGCGAATCTTTGTGAGCCACAATATGGCTAAACTGAGCAAGAAGTGTTTGTGTGTGTGTGTGTGTCACTTGCTTGAATCATCCCCCAAGTTTGTCGTCTAAAGATCCAAGCAGCCAAGAATGAAACTGCTGCTGTGAAATGGGGAAGCCAAGAATTTCCCTGTGAAGCAAGGTGAGAGGGGCACTGCTCAGACCCACAAATGAGCTTCTCTCTAATCGGTGGTTTGGATACCCGCGGCCCCCCCCAAAAAAGAGAGAGCAAAAGTGGGCAAACCCTACCCGTGACAGCCCAGAATTCCGGAACGCTCAGAAGAAATCTGTGGAAGACACTGCTCCTCCAAAAACGATCAACTGCACCAACAACTCATCGCACAGGCTCATTCTTTAAAAGCTCCTATGTGGTACCCCAGTTTTGCTCTTAGAAGGCACATCTTTATTCGGGGGCTTGCCTCCCTGACCAAGTCCATAGCAAATTTGGCTCCCCCGGGGCCCCAGCCCCCTTCGTCCTCCCTTCCACTCGCCGGGCTCCTGGAGCCCCGGCCCGGGTCACTGCACCCATGGTCTGCATCGGAGCCGGGGAGGCGGCCCTCACCGGCACCGGGGCCGCCACCTGCGAGCGAGGTGCGCGGGGCTCGGACCGACTTGCGATGTTCAGCCTGGACCAAAAAGTGACAAAATGTCCAGTAGTGAAATTGACTCCCTTTACAACCAAGAGGGTCTTAAAAAAGAAACACTCTACTTTTAGCAAAGGAGTGCCTCTGTAAGGAATCGGACACCCCCAAAATGGCAAATGGAAGCTGAAAGTTCAATCGACCCCGTAAACCACCCAGAACTCCAAAGACTTCGCTCGAGAACGACGCAAGCCAGGGCAGAGGATGCCGCAGTGGGGCATGTGTGCCTAAAAAATACCAGGCCCAACTCATGGACCAAGGGGAGCGAACTGTGGAGGGGGGAGGCGGGCGGGGGGGGGGGACCCCTTGCCACCCCCATAACCCCGGAATAGGGCATTATAAAGGGAGCTTATCCAGGGATAGCCCCTGCCCCCCACATACCCCCACTTGACAGGGCATAGATCCCATCCTGAGGAGAATGCGGTGCTTGGGGCGTGCTCAGCACCCCTCGTGATTAATAGACATGAAACTGGCCGTGACGGCTGCATAATCCCCAGCGAAAGTCAACAAAACTCTCCCTTGGCAGCCATGCCAACAACCTTGTTGTTTTCTCCATAGAAGAACTCTGTCTGCTGGTTGTTGATGGTGAAGAGGAAACCCGCCTCCCCTTCTCCAAACTGGGGTGCTTTCAAAACAGGGCCCAACCCTTAACCCTCTTGAGAAACCACTAATTGAATTTTAAAGCAAGGATTAAGAATTCCCCTTGGTCCGGCCCCAACTGCCACCTGGGCAGAACCTCACGACACTCCCATCACCGCATGGCGTCTTTTCCGCCGCGCTGCGCTTCTCGTGAGAATCGAGAGGCCCCGCAGGCCGCATGCAGGTCAGGCACTCCGAATATTCACCTCTCAAACCAGCAGCCAGCCGTGCTCGGGGCGAGCACGTCCCAAGCTGTGTGCATCGACCTTGATGCTCGCCTCCTCCGCCACTCCCGCGCAGAATGACCAACTCAACCCAGCGACAGAGGTGAAGCAAACTCCTGCGTCAGAGCCGAGGACAACGGCGGAGTCGCAGTTACCCACTCCAGTGGGTAGCAGACGAGCGAGTGGGCAAATGTCGTTGAGTCGGTTGAGACAGGTCCTCACTCGTCCTCACGCGCCCGATGGCCATGGGAAGAAATTGGACACCGTTTTCTTGCCGGCCGATGTTGAAGATTGCAGCGTTGCCACCCCCCAAAAAAATGGATGATCTAACATTCCCCACCCAAGCTGGCACCATTTGGATGAAACTGCCACGTTTGATCCGTCCAAAGTTGGCCATCCAGACCCCTGGCGCCTGGACCGAGATTCCGCCAGGCTTCTCACCAGCAGGTCTTCCTCTCCGGCGCTTCCGTCAGCCGATACCTTGGCCGCTGCCATGTCGGCAGAAAGGACTCCCTGATATGGCTGGGGGTCAAAACCAATGGTACCTTTTTGGGGTAGCACCACCCATTTTAGTCTATTTCTTACATCGGTTCGGAGTCCTAGCCCTCCGCTCCTGCAACGAGAGTCGGGGCATTGAGACCTGGGCGCACGGAACTTGGACGCCAAGTGGGAGGGTAAGGGAGGGGAAGGGAGGGGAGGAGGGGAGGAGGGGAGGGCCAATGAGCCCAAAATAAGCCCAAAAAAGGGCTGAAGCAAAGGAATCTTCAAAATCAGATTCCAAGTTCATTTAGCTTAGGGGACAACCTGAAATGGGGACAATCTGAAATTCGGGGGCCATTTGTGAAAGACAACCGGGAGTCTCTTTGGAGGCTGCACCTTTCTCTTGGCTGAGGAGTAAATTGACTTGCTGGTGCTCAGCACCAACTTGGCGCGTTCGGGCGCCCGCAAAAAAAAAACGGGGCTCGGGCATAAGGAGCCACCTCAAAAGTGGCTGGTGCACTGCCGCGAGTTGAGCTCCCCAAGATTCATACGCCTCTGCGCTTTGTCTCCAACTTAGGGAACCCACAACGCCCAAAAAGGGTCACTCGAAAAAAAAAAAGGCGAGCCGCCCATCTCAGTGAGAAGATCTGGGATTTTAAGCAAAAGACTCCATCCGCTAACGCGTTCCGCAGAAGGCACGCCCCAAGAAGGAGACCAACTCCAAAAAGAGCAATAGCTTCATCCCCTTTGTCAACCCGCGTCAGAGAAGTTGCCAGGCGCCAACCTTCGGCTCCCCCCTGCTGGTGCTTTGGTTTGGTGTCGTGGGAGTGTCTCAAAATGTCTCAAAAACTGTCCAACCTGAAACCCCCAAACAAAGGAGACCAGCCCCACGCACAAGACCCAACCGCGGAAGTTCAGCCGAAGGCGCCCGTCCAGCATGAGCCTCACCTGCAGCACCTGGCCCCAGACGCTCTTGGGCACCGCCCCGGCGGCCGCGCTGAGCGCCACGTGGAGGGGCAGCGCGAAGGGCGCCAAGGCCTCGGCCGCGGTGTGGGCCTCGTTGATCTCCGTCTCCTTCGCCTGACGAGGCTCGAGGCTGCCACAGCTGCCTGGGGGGAAGGGGGTGGGGATGGTTTTGGCTTCTCTGCCCCGCAAAGGGAACATGGAACCAAATAAAGACGCGAGCTCTACCTGGGGGAAGGGGGAGGAGCTGGGTTTTTCTAGTGCAGAAAAGGGAACCGCGTCGGCTGCGAGCAACCCCCGACATCCCCTAAAAGGAGGGGGGTGGGGATGGTTTTGGTTCTTCTTCCCCCGCAAAGGGAACATGGAGCCAGAAATATAGTTGGTGCCACCCCCCCTCTCCCAATTCCATGTTTACGGAGGTGGGGATACCCCACCCCCCAACCGCCCGAACCCACCCCTCCCCCCCCTCAACCCCGTTAAACGCTTTGTAGGGTTCCCGACATTTCTCCTCTCACGCGATCGCCGCAAAAACTGGAAATGTAGGGATCATGTTCAAAAGCTAGGTTTGACTTGGCTTACATGAGAAAGGGTATGTGATTTATCCCAATCATGGGTGTTCATCCTCTTTGCATTCATTTTTGGAGGTGTCGATGCACAAAATCCACGCCGATCCACCGTATGTTGCAGGGATTCCTAATGTATGTCAAACCTAAAAAGAATCTTGCAGGGGCCCAACACGTGATACCACCAAACAGGAAAATTAGGAATCCCCATCAAGAGCCATGTTTGGTCCAAAGGGGAAATCAGAGGGCAACCAGCAATGTTCAAAAACAAATCCTGGCCATTGGTGTTCTTCTTGAAGGAGCCCAGGCGAATTCGCGAACCGAGTTCGCGGATCGACTTTTCGAGACTTCGGATGCCTCCAAGGGCCGGTGGCACCAGTGGAAGATCAGCATCCGCTCCAGCGTCCCGTACCACCCGATGTCGCCGATCACCACCTCGTTGAGGTCATCCAGCACGCCTACCCGGTGGTTGCAAAGCGTCGGGTGATGCGGCCTATTTGCGCACCCTCACTACCACAAAAATAGCAACTGTGGAAGGGTACCTGGAAGATCAAGTTCCTCTTGAAGGGACCCCCTGTGAGGTGAATTTCTAGTGGAAGGGGAGGGTAACTGTTTTTGGAGCTGTCTTTTGAATTCGCACTGGTTTTCTTAAAACGGCCCGGAAAGACAAAGAACTCTGAAGGGCTAGCCGTGATACGCCCAAAACCGGGGCGTTGCGGTTGCATTTGGCTCCATTTCCGCCTCCGCGTATCCTCACCAAATCCTCCGGCAGGTGTGCCACCTTGAGATTCTGCGACGGCAAGTTGAGGAACACATGCAACCCCCGCTGGTCGATCTCAAACGGGTGGTCGTGGTACCATGCCAGGAACTGCCTGGCAAGGCACGCAATCCAAAACACAACGCGCAAAGTTGTCTCCGCTTGGGGGAGGAAAAACCACACCAACAAACAAACAAACAAACAAACAAACAAACAAACAAACAAGCAAGCAAGCAAACAAGCAAGCACACTCACACTTACATACTTACATACTTACACACTTACACACTTACACACTTACACACTTACACACTTACACACTTACACACTTACACACTTACACACTTACACACTTACACACTTACACACTTACACACTTACACACTTACACACTTACACACTTACACACTTACACTTACACACTTACACACTTACACACTTACACACTTACACACACACACACACACAAACCACACACACACACAAACCACACACACACAAACCACACACACACACACACACGCACAAATGGCCCAAACCACTCGAACGAGAGCCTCACAACAGAAACCCGCTGACCCCAAGAGTGTCGCCAAAAACAGGGCTCGGCAATTGCAGTGCCTGGCCCAGCCGTGGCCTTGGGCAGCAGGCCCATTCTACAGGGCACCCCCCTTTGACGCACCCAGCAAGGTTCAGATCCAGACCACGGCAACCCCTACCAGCATCCCCCTTTCCGCAACCCTCTCAAACTACCCCCCCCCCACCCATTAAAAAAAAAGAAACCGGCTGGAGTTGGAGAACTCCAAGCTGCGACATCCACACCGCCGTCTTCCCAGTCGCCCGGATGAAGAAGATCCCGATGTTCACACAGTCCGCGTCCCCGTGCCGCGCGAAGAGCGCGTCGTAGCCATCGCCATCCGCGGCGGCCAAGATCCGCGGGGTGGGGTCGCGCAGTAGGAAGGTGTCCATGTCCTAGGCCACTCGTCTTCCATTCAAATCTTCGCCAGGAAAGAAAAAAGTAGCGAAATCGATCCTCTTGGAAAGCAGGGGAAAACAAGGCATATTCTTCAGCAAGTGCAAGCTTGCCTTCCGAAAGGAACCAAAGCCACTCAAATCCACCAGGAATGGCTCCCAGAACTGGAAACCTTTCTAGGGGTACAAAAGGCACCGCTCGTTTACTCACTTCCTGAGTGGAGTTGTCCAAAAAAAAGATGCTTGAAGTTGTAGTTCACCACTAAAACGGTCTTCCAGGCACATACTCCCCTGCAAACTACTTCACCACCCCCAGAAGCTTGGGAGAGGCGTCGCAACCTGTC